GGAGGTGCGGAAGGTGTGTCCCCTGTGTAACATGCCGGTGCTGCAGCTGGCGCAGCTGCACGGGAAGCCAGACCCGGGCCCGCCGCAGGGGCCGCTGCCCGGCTCCCAGAACATCGTATAGCTCCTCCGGGGCCGGGCCCTGCCCACACCCGCCCGCGGCACTCGGACACAACCAAAGCACTTGGGCCGCAGCTGAGCAGCCCCAAATCCTGCCGGGATGAAGCCTGGGCTCGGATCCTCTGCCAGGGCCGGGCGGGGACTCGGCATCCTCGGCACGACATCCTTCTTCCAGCACCTCCCTCGTYCAGCGCCGCGGCCGCCGGGAAGGACCTCCTGGACCCCCCGAACCCCGGCTCCTCCTGCCCCCCGATGTCCGAAACGCGGGGCGGGCCCCGGAGCGTCGCGGCCGGTTCCTSCTCCCTTCTCTTCGCCTTCGGTTCCTTTGCCTTCGCGATTCCCACCGGGACACGGGGGCCCGCCCCTGGATGTGGGTGTCCCCTCAGCACCTGCTGTCACCCCCGGGACAGCCACACCGGGTGGTGGCTGTGTGGGGTCTCCCGGGTTCGGATTACCCCCTCCTCGGCTACCTCAGGGGCCTGGAGTCCCTGCAGAGGGCACCGTCCTGGCCTCAGCAGCAGTGAGAGCCACGGCATGGCGGGGACAGGAAAAATCCCGGCCTTTGGGATGATGCCATCGCTTCCAGCCTGGCCCCGGGGCTCTCTGGACAGCGTTTCCCTTGCCAAAATACCCCAAAGGGGGAACTGGGCCACCCCCCTTGCCTCTCTGACCACAGATTTTGGGTGTTCCCTGCCATCCTCACCAGTGCATTCCCAGGATTAGGGGAGGGGGGTGTCAGTATTACACGGCAGCGGCTTTCCCTGGGGCGGGGCTGGGGGGCTCCTGGTGCCRTCCCCCCTCCCAAAAAACCCGGGACTGTTTATGGAGCGTGGAGCCTCATAGACGTGTTTGTACACTACAAATTCTGCAGCAGAATATTTTTTAAAACATTCGCTGGTTTTGGTTTTTTTTTTTTCCTCTGTTTGTTTTTTTGTAAGCTCTATTTTTGTATATTTAATTGCTATTTGAAAATTCTAATAATGCGTCTTTTTTTGCTAATCACACTCTTCTTAAGGAAAAACCAGGAAAGAAAAAAAAAACAACAAAACAACCAAGAGTTTGCATGTGATTTGACTTGAAATGTAAATAAAAGCAGGTTTTGGAAGCGGGGGTGTGTTTGCAGGGGGTCTGTCCCCCGTCCCTTGTGCCCTGTCACCCCGGGGGTGGCCCCAGTAGGGCTGGAGGAGGGGCTGGTTTGGGGTTGGGGACACCACCCCACGAGGGTGGGCTGGCTGCAGAGCCCCCCAAGGCCCCAACCAAGGGGCATTTTGCAGGTTTCAATGCTTAGGGAGAGGATATTCCTCCAGCCAACCTTCCCAGCCCAAACC